CTGGGATTTGAGAATTTCCTCCTCATCCCAAAAGCTAAAGCCAAGCTACAAACCACGAGGTTAATTTGTTGTGTGGACAGGAGGTTTTATCTGAAAAACATTTCCTGCCTGGGAAGCGGAAAAGTTTCAAAACTCATCGAGAGATCACTTTTTGCTCTCGCCTGGTTATGAGGGCTTTCATACAGCAGATTTTGGCATCTGCCCTGCAGAGCAGATGGTCATATCATGCAGGGAGCATTTCATGCAACTGGGGGTGCAGAGGAAGGTGGCTGGGAAGTGTGTGACCCCACAGCAACTGAGATCTGAACCCAACTCTCATCACCCTTCCCAACCACTCCACGACATTGTGACAGTAAAACAGAAGCAGAGGTAGAGATGAAATGCAGTCCTCAAATATTTGTCCCCAGAAAACCTCTGCATACCTGTGGGCATTTCTGAGGAGGAGCACAAAGCCCTTAGGAATGCTGCCATGTGTGGTTTGTGCCACGTTTGTCTATCAGACAGCCTCCAGTTCGCTCAGAACACGTGGGGAATATTTAAGTAAAATAAATGTGGCTTTTCTATCAGTCCTAACAGTAAGAGGGACATAGAAGAGCTCTAAGTCTCCTTTTCCACCTGTTTTTCTGCAGCAAACAGCAGACTTGCAATTCATTTTTGGTCAGGAGGAGCTGCAGCTGATGCAGATCTGCCAAGCCCAGGCACTGCCTTGCAGAGGTTTTGGCATCACAGGTTTGGATTTATGTGCTCACATCTCTTCAGACCCATCCCCAGCTCCAGCCTTCAGCTGAGGAGCAGCTCACAATGTCTGAGTAAGTAATTGGTTCTTTTTCTTTACCCTGAGACAGCATCACTCCTGTACAGTTTGGAAACTAAGTATAGGAATGATTTCACCCACTGTTCTCAGCCATCTTGATGGGAGAGGAGGCCTGGCAGACAACAGCTTTATGCTGCTGCTCAGGGCAGGAAGCAAGAAAGGATATTATATCAAACAGAAGGCATGGGAGAATTTCAGGTTAGATGGAGCATACTTAGTCACAGAAGAATTGGGTCAGTGCTCTGGGACCTGTGTTCACTTCCTGCAGGAACCCTAACACAGCCCAAAATAGTAGCAGTTAGGTAAAAGCCAAATATCTTCCCATTTTTCTCCCCACATCAAATACTAATGCTTACGTCGTTAAAGGAGAAGCATAAATAGAACAAGCCTGGGGCTGTGATTTGCAAAGTTCTTGATTTGTGGATGAACCATCAGCTTTTCTTATAGCTCACTATTACCCACTTGTGCCATCAAACTTTTCACTGAAGATGCTATCAGGATGAAATAGGCCTTCATATCCACCTGACATTCACACCAGTCAGCCAGGAACCAGAGCATCCATCTATAGGTTTTATGTGTGATGTGGTTTTCATCTTGCTGACTGGGGCATGCACCAAGGCAAGTGTCCTAGTGGCAGTTTGGGGAGTGTTTTGGAAAAGAAGGAGAGTTTGGATCTGTGAGTACAAGGTGTGCCACACCTGTTGTCCTCAGGGGCACAGAACAGCCCACGTCTGTTTAATGTCACTGTACAGAGCCACGACAGCCACTGCCTGCCACACTGGGCTTGGCCACTGCCCTCCACTGTGCCCTCTCCCCCAGGTGCTCACTCCTCCCCAGAAAGTGGCAGTCAGCATCTGTAGAACAGCTGGAACTCTGCACAGAGCCACACACCTCTGCCCATCCTTCCTCCAGCCTTTGGAAATGTTCCCAAGAGCGACTCGAGGCGGCAGAATCCAGGGGCAGGTCCTCAGCACACCCATCAGCAGAGAGCTGTTGACATCAGTGGAAACAGCCTTGACACACATCAGGATCCTTATATTGTTCAGGGACACCCTAGAATTGAAATCCCCCTAGCAGGATTCCTGGGCCACCAGACACGTTCAGGGAAGAAGAGATGCTTGGAAGAATTTTGGCTTTCAGCAGTAATTGGTGTGTGCAGAATCAATTCCCATTAAAACCAGGTGCTTTGAAAGGAGCTGCTTGTCGCTTTAGTGCCTTGTAATAGTTGAACCTCAAGTCCTGAGGTCCTGTGCCTGGTTCCCAAGGTAAACACATGTGATTTATTTCAGAAAGGCATCTGCAGCACAAGAATTCATGACATACATCGCTGATGGGCAGCAGCCAACTTTTCAAATGTGCCAAGTTGCCAGAATTTTATTAAAAGCTGTTAAGAGTTAGAGAGAAGGTGCAGAGAAAAGCACCCTCCTTCCCAAAGCCAGGTGGCTTAGCCTCCACTCACGCTGCTTCCCGAATGGATGAGGCAAGCTGGAGTCAGAGGTTCCTTCCAGCAACAGCTCAGTCCCCCTGGACGTGTCTCCGTAAGCTGCACAAATATTCTGGGGAGGGGGAGGGAGAGAGAAAAGAGTGAAACCTATTCAATTACACCAAGATCACGACTGGCCCTAGTAAAATCATTTATGGAGTGAGGGAAGCCGGAGTGGTTTGGGCTGGAGCCATCTGCAGTTATTTGGTATATACAGAATCGGTTTCTATGGATTTTATTAATAGGTCACGCGATTGTATACGAGGATGTGAGATCTGAATCTCTCAGGAGGGGTCCCTGGTTGGGGTTTCTATTGCCTTTACAGGCAATGGCTCAAACTTTCTTGCAGCAGTAACTCCTTAAAAACTTGAGGGGAATGGGGCTGGCTTTAGCATCCAGCCCATTTTTTTTTCCTGCCCCACCAAAATCTTGAATTTACTTTGTTCCTCTTCCTCTCTATAACACATTTACTAAATGGGGAAACAAGGAAATAATCAGAGAAATATTCTTACTTACTTTTTCCATTGTCTGCATGAATTTTTTCTCTTTCCCACCAGTCTGAGGGATATCTGGTACATAACTCAGCTCCCACTTCCATCTGTTTTTCAGCCTCTCGTTGGCCCTTTTTAGGGGTAATTTTGCTTCTATGCCATTGTTGGCTCCTTCCACACAGAGAGTCAAGCCCAAAGGAACTTGGACACACAAAAGAGATTTGGGACAGTGGGTGTAGATCAGAACAGCCCAGAGGCTTCTCTACCTTCCCAGGGAACTGCCCAGGGAGCCCTGGGCTGTTCTGGAGAGCAAGCTGTGACTCAGGAACAGCCTAAAGCTCTTTGGTCTTAACTATAGCTCAGTTTGACTTTAATTGCCCCGAAGAGGCAAACCCAAACCAAGTTACCAGAGCAATTCCTGCACATCCCAGCTGTGTGGAGAAAACTGGGCCCTGCAGAAGACTACCCTACTGCAGCAAGAAACCACCACCTTCACCAGCATTCCAGCTGATGAAGCCTCATCCCAGAATCGAAGGGTTTCACCCCTGTTTCTCATCATCTCCCGATTTTTTGTGCCAGCCCTAGGTAGGACAGCTCTCATCTAGCCTCGTTTTTCCAGAAGGTAGGAGAACCTCAGCTGGAGCGCAGAGGTCACATTCCATCCTTCTTGAAAGCGCAGCCGGGGATCCCACGGTGTCTCACCAGGGCTGATATGACCTGTGGGAGCACGGGAAACTGCACCTGGATCCAGCGGGGCTGCGGGATGGGCATCGGGGCTGAGAACCCGCCCGGGGGCCGCCACTGCACCACGGATCGGAACCAGCCCGAGTCTGGAACCGCCGCGGGGCTCGGAGCTGCCCCAGGGTTTCGGATTTGCCCCACAGGGTTTCGGATTTGCCCCCCGGGGTTTCGGATTTGCCCCACAGGGTTTCGGATTTGCCCCCCGGGGTTTCGGATTTGCCCCACAGGGTTTCGGAGGTGTCCTGGGGCTCAGAGGTGCCCCAGGGCTTCGGAGGTGCCCCGGGCTTGCAGTTGCCCCAGGGTTTTGGATTTGCCCCACAGGGTTTCGGAGTTGCCCCAGGCTCGGAGCTGCCGCGGGGGTCGGAGTTGCCCCAGGGTTTTGGAGGTGTCCTGGGGCTCGGAAGTGCCCCAGGTTTTTGGGTTTGCTCCACAGGGTCTCGGAGGTGTCCCAGGGTCTCAGAGTTGCCCCGGGGTGTCGGAGCTGCCCCGGGGTCTCGGAGGTGCCCCAGGGTTTCGGATTTGCCCCACAGGGTTTCGGAGGTGCCCCGTGCTCGGAGGTGCCCCGGGGTTTCGGAGTTGCCCCAGGGTTTCGGAGCTGCCCCAGGGTTTCAGAGTTGCCCCAGGTTTTCGGAAGTGCCCCACAGGGTTTCAGAGTTGCCCCAGGGTTTCGGAGGTGTCCCGGGGCTCGGAGGTACCCCACGGTTTCGGATTTGCCCCACAGGGTTTCGGAGGTGTCCCGGGGCTCGGAGCTGCCCCAGGGTTTTGGATTTGCCCCACAGGGTTTCAGAGGTGCCCCACGGTTTCGGAGCTGCCCCAGGGTCTCGGAGTTGCCCCAGGGTTTCGGAGCTGCCCCAGGGTCTCGGAGCCGCCGCGGGGCTCGTAGTTGCCCCAGGGTTTCGGATTTGCCCCACAGGGTTTTGGAGTTGCCCCAGGGTCTCGGAGCTGCCCCGGAGTCTCGGAGCTGCCCCGGGGTCTCGGAGCTGCCCCGGGGTCTCGGAGGTGCCCCACGGTTTCGGAAGTGTCCCGGGGTCTCGGAGTTGCCCCAGGGTCTCGGAGTTGCCCCACGGTCTCGGAGGTGCCCCGGGGTCTCGGAGGTGCCCCAGGATTTCGGAGCTGCCCCGGGGTTTCGGAGGTGCCCCGGGGTTTCGGAGGTGCCCCGGGCTCGGAGCTGCCCCAGGGTTTCGGAGCTGCCCCAGGGTTTCGGAGCTGCCCCAGGGTCTCAGAGCCGCCGCGGGGGTCGGAGTTGCCCCAGCGTCTCGGAGCTGCCCCGGTGTCTCGGAGTTGCCCCAGGGCTCGGAGGTGCCCCGGCTCGGAGCCGCCGCGGTGTCGCCCCCCCGAGGCGGGGCCCAGCCCGGCCCGGCCCGGCCCGCGGCCGCCCCGCTCTCTCGCTCTCCGGTCCGCCCCCGTGCCCATGCCCGTCCCATTGGCCGCGGCGGCTCCGCGCGTCACCGCTTCCTCCCGCTTTTGTGCGCCGCCCCAGCCGAGCTCCGGGCGAGCGGTGCCGAGCCGAGCTGAGCCGTTCGGAGCCGCCAGGCGCTGGGAGCCGAGCTGGTGACACCAGCCCCGGGTGGCCACGCATGTCCCTCCGCGGGTGAGCCCGGTAAGTCCGTCCTGAACTCCCCTTCCCGCGGGTCCTCGCCTCCGTGAATAGTTTCGTTCTTTTAATTATTTTGCTGTCTGCAGTGGTGACCGAGAGTTTTGCAGTCGGGTCTGGCTTCCGTGGGTTTTTCTTCCTTCCTTTCTAGTGTTGCGGGTGGCAGCTTGTCCCTGCGGCCGTGCTGGGGGAAGCGGGGGGTCCCCAGGTGCGCTCCCCGGGAGGAGGGCGCGCCTTGCCGTGTCCGTGGGTGCGGAGCGGATTGAAGGACTGACCTTTCCCGGGGCTCCCCGCACACCCCTGCCCTGTGCTGGTGCTCTGGGGTCGCTCTTTTCCCCAGGTTGTTGCCTGGGTGCGTGTCCCGGCTGCAGCTGCTGACAGCGAGCGCCGGGATTAGGCTCCAGTACCCGTTTTGGGATGCACTGGCGTCTGGAGCCAGCGGTTCCTGGATGTGGTGGTCCCTTGTGTCCTGGGTCACTTGTGGTCCTGGCTCCCTGGAAAGCATCCGGGGGGGTGCAGGGGTGCTTGGCCATCCCTCAGTCTGCTGCAGAGCTCTCCCCGCAGCGGAGCGGTGAGGATGGGATGAGCGCGGGGAGGAAGGCTCCGCGCCGGGCACAGCCCCAATCCCGTCCCCGCGCGGTGCGAGTGGCTGGCGGAGCTGGGAAAGCTGGATTTCCATCGGGACGGAGCGAGCGGCTGCCCTGGGGCTGTGCCACGAGCCGGGATGATGCTCAGGAAGGATTTCTGCTGCCGGCACCAAAACCTCTGCCCTCCGCGGCTGTGCGGGGAGGAGCGGAGCAGAGGTGGGAGCCGTGGACCAGCCGGGCAGGTCGTGCACGGTGCCAGGTACAGCTCTTCATGGCCCTGAAACAGCTCGGAGAGAGGCTTCTCCCTCCGCTGCTGCTTTAATCCTCTTCAATTCCTGTTTTGTAAACCAGTAGTTTCTAAGAGTCGACCTGCTCTTGGTTTGGGGAAGGGTCTTGCATGTATTCCTGATGCATGAGCCAAAACCACAGGATTCACTTGGAATTTGGAGGCTTTGGATTTTTGCAGGGTTTAAGTGATCCCAGAGGTTTCCAGGGTCAAGCTGTTTCACTTCTTTGGTGTGAGTGAATGGTTGGGGGGAATTTCTTTCTCTGACACCACCTGGATTTATTTCCAGTCTGGTATGTGCAGTTTGACGTAGCTCCTTGCAGGATTTGTGCAGCTCTTGGAAGCAGCTCCTCAGGTGTGCATGAGATCAGTTGCATTTGGAGCTTTGCTCTGCCTGTGTCTTGATACCTGTGTCAGACGGTCCAATTTCCAGAACCCCTAATTTAACATTAATTATAAACAGGGATTCAAGGTTTCCCAGGGCTCCTGTAGGTCAGAGCAGACCTGCACAGCTGGGCACAGCCTTTGCCCTGGGAAGGTCTTGCAGCTTGTAAAAGCTCCTCTGTTGAGGCAGGACGTGAGGCTGGATGAGCTGCCAGCCTGGTGGGATGTGGATGTAAAGGACCTTTTATACCTTCCTCGTGTGAATAGGTTTTGGTGCCGCAGTTTTTTCCACGGGTCCTTAATCTCCACCAGAAGCCCGCAGCTCTGCCATGTCAACGTGTGCTGATGGGCAATGCATTTATTTTTTTGGAGGCTGTCAGAGCCTGTGAGGGAAGTGTGCTCACGCAGAGAGATGTGGTCTGGATTTCCACCCAGACGAAGCGACTGTGGCGGCCAGAGGAGCGGCTCCATCCCGTCCAGAAGGTTCCTATTGCTCGGCGATGCTTCGTGATTTTAGCCCTCAGCTGGGACTCGATGCTCTGGGAATTTTCCCGTCGGGAAGACGCCGGCGAGGCTCCCACGGTGTGTCTGGCTCCCTGGCAGAGCTGTGGGATGGAGAGTGCTGCTGCAGCATGGAAAGTGATGTGCTTCCAGCCCCGCTCTCCCCAGATGGACGTGGGAACGAGTGTGAGGGCTGGCAGCATCTTCTGCTGGATCTGGCCCTGCTGTTGGGGACCTGCTGGTCGAGGTTAGAGGGAAGTGAGTCAGGGTTTGCTGTTAGAAGGGATATCTTTTATTAGACTGCTCTGAGAAGGCAGGCTGGATTTGGAGTGCACAAGCCTGTCTACGTGTAGAAAAGAGGGAGTGATTGCTTGGAGTCTGCCCTGGCTCTCCAGACTGAGGGAATCATCTGAAAAAAAAAAGACAGATTCAACTGCAGTTTAACCTGCAGGAAGCACATTTCATCCCTCTGCAAATCTCTGGACTCCTCAGATCCTGAGATGCAGCAGAGGACAGGGACATGCATCCCACATGCCAGCCCTTCACAGGAGGTGGCTGAGCATTTTCCAGCCTGGCTCCCGCAGCGAGGAGCTGTGTGAGACAGGGATGGTGCTCACTGATGCCTGACGGTAGCAGGAGGCTGCTGGGCTCAGTCCCTTCCACTCCCCTCTTTGCACAGAGCACAGGCCAAGCACAGCGTGCTCAGAAATGTGCAGAATGTCAGCTGTGCACTGGGGAGGTGGAAGATGCAGTATGGAGCCATGGGAAGTGGAATATGGATTTAAGCTTTTTTATTTTTATTATTTCCCCAGACGGGGAGGGAAAGCTATAGATGGCCCACTGATACTGAACCTGGCAGTTCAATCTCCAGGCTTTATTTATTTAGCTATTTAACTCCACAGGGGAAAATGGGTGACCAGGTGTTTTTGGTGAGTCCCTCCAAGGAGCAGGTCCCCTTTCCCACAGCCTAGGGCAGTTCAGCATTTCTTTCTGGCACTTTTTCTGCCTTTCCTGAGTGCAGTGTGAGATGCAGAGGTTATGAATGTCATCTCAGTTGTGCCTGAACCACGCTGTCTCCACAGGCTGGCCCCATATCCTGCATGGCATGAGCCTTCATCTGATGTGGTCAGTGCTGTGGTGAGCTTCAGACAGGCAAGATAAGGGGTTTTCTGTCTGTGAAGGTGCAGGTGAGCATGCAGGAGTGTGGATATGTGGGCATTTTTGTTTGTTTTCTGTCTGTCCCTACAGGTTTGATCTGGTCTAGACAAGTAATTTACCCATTGGTCATTAAAATGCTGCTGGTGCCCAAATCAAAAGGGTGGTCAGGCACTGGCACAGGCTGCCCAGGGAAGTGGTGGATTCACCATCCCTGGATGTGTTCAAGAACAGTGTGGATGTGGCACTTGGGGACATGGTTTAGAGGTGCACTTGGCAGTGCTGAGTTAATGATTGGACTCAATGATGTCAGAGGTCTTCTCCTGCCTTAATGATTCCCAGTCAGTCTGTCTCAGTTTCAGTTCATCCTCAATGACACAAGAAATTAAAAGCTAAGATCTCCTTTAAAAACCAATGCCTTGCTCTTGAAAGGCCCTGGGGAGCTGTTCCCTGCAGCAGACCTGTTGCATGGGCCTGAGGAACACGGGAAGAACATTCTAGAGGGGCTCCAGACAGGAGGTACCTGGCTCTCTGCTTTGTTTCAGTAGTGGGATGTTGTTCCAGGATCTTCCCCTGGAGCCACAGGGCTTGGGGCCAGGCTGAGACCAGGATGGAGGAAGAAGCAGCATCAGCCTGTTCTGTGATGGGGACTCCTGCAGCTCTACATCCCTGTCTCTGTGACCAGGGGTAGGGACACAGCATTGCATGTCATCGCTGTGTCTGGCCTCAGGTGCCAGCTTCTGTTCCCAGGGCACTTGGAATGTCTGTGAAGGGAGCCCAGAGGGTTTGACCTGGGCTTTCTGAGGCTTTTAGAGGTCAAAAGTGAAATTTATACCTGTACCCTCTAGAAGAGGGGATTCAGCTCCCAAACACCTCCCCAAGCAACTTTTTTCTATGCTGGAAGATCCTAATATAAATGTTAGTGGAGACGAAGTGGCTCAGAATTTAATGAGAACCTGTGGCTGGTTCTGCTCTCCTGAGTTAAAGACTGGCCACCATTTTATGCAGAACGAATTGTCACTTCTGCAAGAGCCTCTGTGATTTTGTTCTCTCCACTCTGGGGAATGCTTGGGTGCAGCCCAGGGAGAAGGAGCTGTAACAGCAGTGAGCCAGGGTGGAGATGGGGCAGGGTTTGGCTCAGAACTGCCTGGGACAAAGTCCGGCTGGCAGAGCACGTTGTGCCAGGTCCTGGAAGGAGCTGGCCAAGCTCCTGCGTGGGTGCTGTGCAAACAGCACGTGTTCAGGCCAGGTCCTGGGGAGGGTGGGAGGATGGCTCAAGCATTCAGGTAGGGATTAAACACCAAATTGCTTGAAAAAAATTAGCCCTGGTGGGTGTATGAGAGGCGCTCTGCAATGCTCCTGTGGCCAAGTGACAGCAAGTCATCTGATAGCGAGGTGATTCAGATGGAGGGAAAGACTTTGTACCATTTTGTGAGATAACAAGTCTTTGTGATGGAGGTAGGAATGCCTTAAATCCATCGGTGCTGCAGGGTGCAGTGTGGCCCCTGCAATGCTCCTGTTTTGCCATGGTTATGTTTGTCCCACCCACATGCAAGTGTGTCGTGCACAGGGGCTTTCAGGTGCTCCCAAATCCCCAAGGAAATGTTCAAAACTTTGCACATGACTGTCCTTAGCACAGATATTGTGTGTTGACCCAGCAGAGGGTCAGAGGAAGATGCTGCTACTTTGGCATATCTGGTGAGGTCTGTCCTTGCTGAGGTTGTCCTTGTCCTGCAGTCCTGAAGTGGTCAGGCCTGGATGATCACTGCTGATCCCTTTCAATTGGACTGTTCTGGTCTATGGATGTGCATGGAAGTCCCTTGTGGTGAGGATGGTGGATTACTCAGATTGCTTAGTACTTCTGTGCATCAGCCTCTTGTTTTTGGGACTTGTGTACTGAGCAGAAGTCAAATCATCACACTCTAGTTGTGAAGTGGAAATAGTGCAGTGCCATCCACAGTAAATAAGAGCCCAGAAGAATTCATCAGATCCTTAATTCTTCACAGTGGACTGTCTGCACCTTTTACTGTTCGAGGTGGCAACAGGGATACTCTATCCCAAGCCATGAGGATTCTGCAGAAGGGTGGTGGACA